GGAAGGAAGGGATGTAGGAAGGAAGGGATGAGGCAACAACGGGGAGGAAGCCATAGTAGCCCATGCAGCTGCTATGGGGCCCAAGAGTGGGAAGGGGGCCCTGCTAGGGAGGTTGTCTAATTGTCTCTATTCCACAGGGATACATTGCAGTCTAATTACAGGTCAAACACAGACTGACTGAGCGCCATTGTGAAAGGGACCTCAAAGCTGAACTCTTGTAAAACATTGTCTAAATACAAGATCCATGTGTATTCTTAGCTGAATCTCGGTGTGCTTTGTGTATTTCTTTCAGATCTGTGCAGTAATCCAGTGTAAAACTACCTCTGTGCAGGAGCTTCCTGTAATAAGGACCGGTCACAGCCACAATCTCTCCTTGTGCAGGGTGGCTGGTCTGTCTCCGCCCCCTCCTGTAGTGGGTGGAGCCTGCTGGGTCCATCTCCTGGCTCTGCTCTTAGTGCAGGCTATGTAGAGCTCAGTGATAATGCCACTCAGAGGCGGGGTGACACCCTGTGCGAATACCGGATGACACCCCACAGTGGCATAATCGCGCATGCGCCTGATGACGTCGTGCACTGTACAGCCGTTACCTGCCGGCAGCCATCTTGGTGATGGACGCCGACAGAGAGAGGAGGGGACGTCACCCCCCCTCTCTCTCTCGACCAACTGTCCTTGACCGAGTGCTGACTTTTCAGAGGGGTGACACCAAAATGACTGTCAGTCATTTGGGTGTGGGACGCTCCCCCCGCACCCCCCATGTGACGCCACCGATGTCACTTCTACTCTTATAAGATAATAGCTGGGATTGCAAAGGCATTTGGAGTACACAAATGGAAATGAAAGTGTTTGTGCCCATAGTTCAGCTTTAACGTAAACCTGTGATGTATTCTAGGGCTGGCCATACACTGCAAGTTTCTGTTCTTGATTCCCCAATCCATTCTAATAGCATAGATGGGGGAATCCCTCCCCGTTGGGCTATTGTTCTGAGTGTGCTGGTCTCATATGACTAGTAACTGCAGAGATTTGTTTGGACTAAAGTCTATTGAAAAATTAACTATTGTTGAACAGGAGGTCCCAATGGGGGTCACACACTGGAATGTTCTCAGAAGGACTGGTTGACATGATATTCATATAACTCTTTCAGAGCCCGGATTCTGATCATTTAAGGAGGGGTCACT